AAGAGCTTCGAGGGTTAAGCACTCGCTGACGTGTTGCTGATGGGAGGGGGGCACACGGACTGAGCGGGGGCCCCAGAGTGAACACAAACCAGCTGAGCACCAAGTCCGAGAGGGAGATTTACAGGGAAGAGGAAGCGGGGAGGTGAGGACAGCCATGGAGGGGCAGCTTCAGGGGAAGGCAAGGTATGGAAGAGGCAGAGCTGGTCCACGGCTGCCGCAGCATGACATGCAGAACAAGCATGGCGTCAGCAAACTCCATTGAAGGACAAGCAAACACACGTGGAAGAGGACCGAGGCATCCGGCTGAGGCTGCGAGTAACAGCCTGTCGGGCAGATGCGTCTGTCTTCAGAGGAGACGTATCATGGTGGTGAGTCCATGGCCATGCACGCGGTGAGGTGTTTGGGAGGCCAAGGCCAAGGCCATGTGGCAGCTGTGTGCCTTGCTGCTGCCTGGTATATTTTCCTTGGGGGCCCCTCTTGGCTCGTGGCCCCTCTGGCTCTACCATGTCCCTGGTGGACGTGGCTGGGCAGCATCTCAGGGGAGGAAGAGCTCCCTGGAGCTAAGGCTGAGGTCCACGTTCCCAGGTGGGGACGCGCGAAACAAAGCCAAAGCTTTCATTTGTGCGTCTAGAGTTATTCGTCCATGGAAAAGCATTTCTAAGCGAGGGTGAAATTCAGCCCAGAAGCCCCTTTCTACCAGCCTTTTCTAAAACAAGAATCCCATATCCCCAACCATGGAGGGAATGCTTAACTCAACCAACCAACCAACTGGTTTCTTCAACAAATAAACCGCCAAGGGGGCAAAGATGTGGAACCTGATGAGGACGAGACTTGGAAAATGCATCCTATCATGATATTTGGGCCTGATTTGGATTTTGATTCAAAACAAATCCTTTCTAAAGAAATGTGAAGCCGACCAGATATCTGCTGTTAATAATGAATGTTGTTTTTCGGTACACTGATGTTATGGTTGTGTTTTAAAGAGTCCTTTTTCTCTGAGCTATGGAGTGAAATATTTGCAGATAAGAAATATTTAAGGTTGGCGGCCACGAAATTCAAGAAAACAAAGCATAAACAAATAAGCAAGCAAGTAATTCAAGAAAGCAGAGCGTGGGTAGATGTATTAGACATGGGTGGTGACTGGGGAGCTTGTTCGGAAGCCTCAGCAAAGAGCGGCTACTGTGTTCCCCTGAGGGGAGAACAGCCCATCAGCAGCAGGGCAGGCCGGCCCCTCGCTGGAGGCACGTGCTGCATTGGGAGGGAAGCATGTGGTGTGGTGAGTGAGGGAGACGCATGCCAGGCCCAGGCCCACCAGGTGAGTGAATGCACCCTGGACCCCAGTGGGGGCGCAGATGTGGCAGCCAGATTGCCCTCACCTCAGGGTCATGACTTGGAAGTTGGGGAATCTGAGTGGTGGGCTGGTGGGGCCTCACTGTGCTATACTGTTAACATTACATTCTAAAACAATGGTTTTATTTAGATGTAATCCAGGGCCTCCCTGGTGGCACAAGGGGTGAAGCACGGCACTGTGAAGCAGCCTGCAGCCCCTGCAGCATGAGTTTGATCCCCGTCTGGCCAGGGAGCTACCCCCATGGGTCAGCAGACCTCTCCTGTCTCGCCCGCTGCTCCTCTTGGCAGTGTTTCAGTCCACCTGCTCTGTTCCCCACTCTGTTTCTGGTGAATCCTCTCACCCCCCGCATCTCTGGCCTGTACCCCAGCTCTTGTATGCATAAATAAATAAATTTAAAAAAAAAAGATGTAATCCACATGACACAAGTTTCTTCCTTTTAAAGACTATTCAGCATCTTTTCGGATAATCACAGTTGCACAACTATCACCACTGTGTAATTTCAGACCATTCCCATCACCCCAAAATGAAACCCCAGGCCACCAGCAGTCGCTCCTTCTCCTCCCCAGCCCTGGCAACTGCTTTTTCTAGTGTATGATTGACTCTCGGATGCATTTGAAAAGATGCCAAAAGCAAGGATGAGACTTGCTCAAGGCCAGACGGTGATGTGACAGGCTTTGAACTCAGGTGTCCCAGGACAGCAGACTTCACACCAAATCCAGTTTGGACGGTTCCTGGCACCTGTCTACGTCCTGACAATTCTCCCTACATAAAGGGGGACTCTGAGCCACACAATGGATGAAAAAGCTATAATCTGTCTCTTTCCTTGTAGGTAAAGGTATGAAGACACTACAAAAAACTAAGACTAAGAGGTAGTTAAGATTTGACTGAGAGTAAAAAAAAAAAAAAAAACAACTCAGACACCAGGTAGGTGGCTATCAGACACGCAGAGCCTCAGTGTGGTGTTTGGTCCTTTTGTTTTCCTGGATAAAAGGCTGAAGTCATTTCACTGAAATGTCTTTGGGTTTAGACAAGCGAGGCTGGGATACACGCACGTATCGGAAGAGGCGCTAATTCTAGGTAACGGGGTGGCTTTCGTAACACCCTGCGGCCTGCAGGTTGAGACACTGTTCAGGAGAACCAAATTAGGGCAACTCGAATGAGGTCCTTTTCCCCTTTGCCACACGCGTGCTACTGAGAACGGCACTTGGGGATGATAAACACTCTCCTCTGGATCCAGTGAGTGGTCCCTCCACCCCCAAGGGCCTGGCTTCTGCCTGCCGACCTAGTTTTTGGATGCCATCATATTTTCACGTGGCATTTGGCCCCCAACCTCCGGGACTGGGAGGATTCAAGCCCAGGGCTGTCCACGTCGGACAGCAGGGTTGGACACCAGACGTTAGCATGTACAGCATGGAAGGGCTGTCGGGAAACTGAGACCCAGGGGAGAGGGAAAGAGACGTCACCCACCTAGGGGGTGGGGGGCGAGGGGCACGAGCCCAGAGCCAGAGGCAGACGGAGGAGAGCTCTGGAAACGTCGCACGAGATTCCCGAGTTCTACCGTCCTCGCTCAGATCCAGCGGGTCACCTCTGAAGCCCTCTCGCCCCGTCCATCTGCCCTGCTTGAGTTCTTGAAACAGCCTCACGTTACGCGCCTGAGGAACCGGTCTTTTCCAGCTGTTTCTGCAGATTCTCATGGCAACCGGTTCCTCACTTAGAACATCTCATGATGTGCTAAATTAAAATGGGAACTTTCGTGGTTGAAGCATGTGTTGGGGGTTCTGATGACCCTCTTTAATTACAGGCGACGACACTATCGCCCAGAAATGACCTGCCCTATTCCTTAGAACTCCAGTGACAGAGCTGAGACCAGACGACCCCACAAAATCGTCCTTCCCAAGTAGACCAAAGTTTAAGGCAAAAGGGAGGTTTTGCCAAATGACCCAAAGAAGTGGAATTACAGCACAGACAGACAAGAGGAAGGACACACAGCTACGAGACCGACAAAACAGGAAACAGAAAAGCGCCAAGCAGCCACTTGAGAACACACTATTCAGACATGGAGAGGTTCAAAGCAAGCTCTAAAAAAAACGAATTAGCTTTAAATAATCATTCCATACAAAAGTTTATTTTAGAAATCACGTTATCTTAAAAAAACATAGACGTTGTAAGTCCTCAGCCTGACTGGATGTTCTTTACCATGTGAACACCAGGGTGTCATGCGGGTGGTATAATCAACAGGGGTGGGTACCAGCCCAAGGACCATTCCTGGCATGTGCTAGTCCAGGTATCAACGTGACTTTTAAAAGACAAAAAAAAAAAAAAAAAAAAAAAAAAAAAGGTGTCTTTAGGAAACGCAGTCTCCTGACCCCGTAAGCTGCAGGTCCACAGGTGAGCCTGTCCCCACACCTGGGAACAGCAGGCGTGGTTATTTGAATAAATCAACAGTTAAAAAGGCCCAATGGACTGTCAGGAGGGCAGTGTAGCCTCTCGTGCCAGTGTCAGAGCAGAACAGAGGGGGCACCCCTGCCTCAGTGTCAGGCTGAAGGCAAAAGTCAGAGAGGGGGAATTCTGGCCAGTGTTTCATGGTGGAACGGTGAGCCTTGCTCCTCCTCAGTGGCACCTTTCAGTTTTACAAAAGGGATGGCCGAGGTCCAGCACTGGAGAATCTTAACGCAAAATGAAGTTTAAATTCACTATGGACCCAAAGATAGTTCTTTTAAAAATCTGAACTTTTTCATTGGACATGTTCAGAATGCTGAAGCTGGCTTTACAGCCCAAAGCCTTCACATGCTCCTCATGGACGATGACCGAAGGAGTCCTGTGCCAGAAACCTCAAGGAGACGTAAAGCTCCTGCAGGGTAAAGCAATTACTTTTACCTTAATCTTTAAACTATTTCTATCAAATGATCCCAGATTATATTTCTAGGTTCTCTCACCTAGAGAACGAGGTATCTGTACTTGGGGTTAAATATAAACCAAAGCTGATCTTGGTGAGGGAAATCCAGGGGCCACTGACACAGGTGAATAGAGACAGCTACCTTCTAAGAAGGTTCACAATAAAGAAACCTGTGCCAGCTGGTTAAATGCAAAACTCTTCAGACGACATGGTTGTCCTGGGCATCCCTGAGGAGCAATTACAGTTCACACTGAAAAGAAACTAAAAAATAAGATTTAAAGTTACAAATGAACAGTCAATTGACAATAATCATTCCTGAAGGTAAGCACGCCTAAGCGCGCCAGCCGGCTGACCTAACTAGATCGGCTACCTCTCCCTTTAGGTTTCCCAGGAAGCGGGTATAACCTTATCCAGAAATGCATTTACTGAAGACAAGCAAGGCTGGTTACCAGGACAGTGTGGGTGGTGTGAGGGAAGACACATGCCTCTGAATCTTCAGGAAAAACTGGCCATTCATTTTATTGAAGTGGAAAAATGTGTAATGCTAAGATGGAAATCTGAGCTTTATTAGCAGAATGATGTCACTCTAGACAGAACTGATAAGATTCTCTCAAATGGTTTTACAGGCACCAAACTCTTGATTCCCAGAGCCGTGTGCCTAGGCGCCTGCTAAGTATGATGGGTGTGCAATGTGAACACCAGTAGACAAAACCACCCATGAAAATTCCTCACGACAGATCCATTTGAGTCTAGAAAGCACTTTAATGCTCTATCCTTCTTCAAATGATCAAGAAATTCAAGAGAAAGAGCAAGTCCCGTATTTACAAAATCGATGAGAATCACACTGTAATAACCAGTGAATGTAGAACAAGCGCAAAGATCTGCGATTCCAACTTTTCCCACCATGATTCTACATCAAGGTAAAAAAAGATTCTTTTGTACAAATCCGCGAGGGACGTAGAGGCGGCAGCACAACGGCCGCAGACGGTGCAGTGACTTACTACGAAGCTGTGAGGGCCGGAGAGGGCAGGCCCACAGGGCAGCGCCGGCAGCCCTAGTCCGTGGTGGACCTCCGGTACCAGAAGCGCGCTCGGAAGTCGTCGCTGCACGTCATGAAGCCGGGGTTGGTGGGCGAGTGGACGATGCAGCGCACGATGTTGTTGTGGCCCAGGGAGAGCAGGTTCCGGCGCTCTGCCGTCCGTGAGTCCCAGCAGCAGAGGCTGATGGTCCTCTCGTCGGGCAGCAGCACGTAGTCCTCAGTGTGGTTGAAGACGGCCTGCGTCCGGTGCACCTGCCGCCCGCTCAGGCCCGCGCCTGCGGAGAGAGCAGAGGTTAGGGCCTTCCGACTCCCTCCTCAGACCTTCAGAGCAACTGTCATCTGCTGGTCAAACAGCAATTTAACACACCGTCATCGTGCGATTCTGGGCCCTCCAAGGTTTGCTGTTCTGGAGCACATCTAGGCAAAAAAACCCCTCTGAAACATTATGTATGCTTTTTTGATCGTAGTTTAAGCCAACTTTACTAGTGCATTTCCCTGCTTTTCCCAGCTGTAAGTATCCTGTGGCCCGGAAGCACCGCTCCTTAATAATTTTTCTCACACGAGGGGAAGAACACTGTGATGAACACTCTGCAGAGAACACATTCCCTTAGGGTTAAACTCTCATGAACAGACCTGCTGTGCTGTATGAACATGTGCTCTCCGAAAGTGAGCTTCCCGTAATTTTCACAGCTGAGACAAAAATTACGTATTTTACACATATCATATAACCTATATTTAAAAAACCTGCCCGAGAGCCAGTATGTTGGAGAACAACCGTTCCAAGTCCCTCTCTGGTGTACCTTACTTGTAAAGCACGTGCTTCAGCATGTACGTCACACGCTGTTTTCACTCAGGAATAGAGGCTGAAGTGTGGACACGGCGTACTAGACACCACCACCAACTTGGCATCAGATGTGGATTCAGCAATTATCAGTGATGTGACCGTGGGCAAATCACTACATGTCGAAACCTTAACTTTCTCCTCTGTTCCGTGGGGACAGCCAGAGCACCCACGCAGGGCTGCTGTGGGGTCTACACGAGGGACCCCGCATGCACAGCCTTGCCGCACACAGCATTTATTTTCTGGAGGCCACGTGCTATGAAAGGATGTGCTCAGTGTTTCTGCTGTCCACCCCTGGGAGGATGCTAGGAGTCAACCTCTCATCCACTGACCTTTCCAGGTAGGATTTCTACAAGTGGAAGAATGGGTCAAAACAGATGTATTTACAAGTTGGATGTGCACCGTGCTTCAGAAATCTTTCACCAATTGACATGCCTAACGATAGTGTGATTTCCTGAAATGTTTCTCACTATTAGATACCACGCTTCATATGTCTACTTATGTGATGAGTCCAGCACATTAACTCTGTTCCAATTTAATTGTTAGCATCAAAATTTCTAATGTTTTCTTGGTAGTTTTTCCATTTTCTCAGGAGCCCCCAGAATTCTAACATTAAAACTGGAAATAGATCTAAATGTGTTGACAGAGGTCTTACCTGTAAATGAAAAAAAAAAAGGGGGAATTTGCATATAAATTCAGTGTCATCTTTTCTGAAAAATCAAATCCCAGCTCTGCACCAAAACACATTCAACCAAAAACCATCCCAAACAGTCATAAAGTAAAACAAGTGGCTGACTTCTGAATGGGGAAGCACCCACATTTCTGATTTGACACTTGCATGTTCCCTTCTGTAACAAGCACACAGTCCTATGTAGAAACAGAGACATTTTCCCAAAAAGCCTTAGACAATACTTGCTAGCAGAGCCACCGCTCCAGAAACAGATGGCTGGGCTGGGGCTGCTGGGAGCCCGACCAGGCAGGCTGTGCTGCACCCTAGTGGCTGCCAGGCCACTGTCTCCGGCGCCCTCCAGCGGCGACGTGATGCCCCAGCAAAGCCCCTCACAACAGTGCTTGCCAGTGAGCTTAGAGGCACGGTCGAGATTCCAGCAAATTTCTTTCACAACAGAGAAAAACCAGCTGAGTTTCCTGAAAGTGTTCTACTTGCTGCCATAGGTACAGGAGAGTAAGAGAGTATTTTAAGAAACACTAGACATTATATACGCCAAGACTCGACCACCACTACTAATGATAAGTTTAAATAGATCTCACCATAAAAAGTGCTGAGGTGGCACAGCTATTACCAATTAGTGACCGATGTGAATTACTGGCAATGAGATGAAATCAACCTCGCTTGTCCTGTCTGAACGGGTGGCCCACTTTAACTCAGAACACTTGTGGTCTCACTTGGGCGCTACCTCTGCTTTCTTAGAACACACCTGTACATAACTGCCAATTTATCCTACGGCCTGAAATACTGGGCCAGGATCTTCCCTCTGGGCTGAAGAGTTAGGGTGAAAGTTTCTCTAACACATCCACTGAGGTCCACCGAGGCTTTTCTCTGGACTGCTGTCCTGGTTTTTGCGGGAGGTGTGTGGCCCATGGTTTGTAAGTGGACCGCCAGGCTCTCCAATGCTCCTGGCTGGAATCAGTCCTAGATTAAGCTGTGATGTACTGGAAGAGGGAAGAATCTGGGGTTCTATCTCCAGCCTTGCCTTTTACTCAGGGCAGCCTGGGCTAAACCACCGAGCCTTAATTTCCCCTTATCCAATAAAGGGATAACCTCTGCCTCACTCAATGCAGATTTTACATGGATCTACTGTGAAGACCTAAACAAGTTCTGGAAAATGTGACAGAAAAGTTTAGTGACACCGATTATTCACATACCTGTGTATCTGACCAGTGTTCGTCCTGTTGATATTTCCCAAAGTTTAGCTACAGAGTCTTTTCCACTCGAGAGAATGTATTTAGAATTTTTGGAAAAAATAGCAGAACAAACTTCAGCACCATCATGTGCTTTCTCAAATGTGGTGATGCATCGATTTGAAACGCCATCCCATAATTTGATGCAGCCGTCCTTGCTACCAGTTACGTACATATTGGCACTAGGATTGTAATTAACAGAGCAGATGGCATCGGTGTGCTGATCTTGAGGATTGCAAGAGACAAAACACTGAAATGTGTTGATATCATAAAGCCGAAGAGTAGGATGCTGAGTCCCAACAAGGATGAAGTCTCCGGAAGGATGAAAAGAGATGGAACGCAACATTTCCGCTTCCTGTTAGGACAGAGATGTTGATACTAAATGACCGACTGGTGAGCAATCAGATCCAAAGGAAAGTGGACAATGTGCGGCAGATGCAAAGAATTCATAAAACGATGATTAAATATGACACAGGTGTGAGAAAGAACAAAGTACTTTCTGGAACATATGGCAGTGTCATTTGAATAAAGATTTCCAAAAATACATATTTACAGGTAAGAATGTTCAAAAAACCCAAAAACGAGCATTGTAAAGGAATTTGTTTGCAAAGAATACTCGGTGAACTCACAGCAGGTCAATCTAGCACACATTCATGGACAATTAACGAATGAAGAAAAACACAACACAATTGCCCATTTGTCCCAAGGCCCTAAATATTGTGTACAAAATTAAGTTTATCATTAAAAGAAGGAAGCCACTACTCAAAACATTAGTATCCTGATGCGCATATTCAAAATATGGATGAAATGTATCACTTTTTGAGCAAGCACCTGGTAGTGTGAACTAATTTTCTGATCCCCACCTCCTTAAATTCCACTTTAGCAAAGTTGCATGTGTTGTTTTTGAAAAGGGATCTGCGACGTTTTAAAGAATGATATGGAGTCTCAATTCTGGCTGCTCGAGTTGGGACCAGCATCAGCCCCACTGGGCCGAGGAAGTGGGTGCCCGATTACCCACGAACCGCGTGCCAAGGAAACCTGCCCTGCGAGCCACTGGCAGCAGGTGTGCTTGCTGCTGCGCTCCTGCTCCATAGGATGAGCGCTTCGGATTGTTCTTAAAAAGAGACTCGTCCATAAGACAGCTTACTGCATGGAAGAAAAAAGTTAAAGTTCTTTTTCAAATATTCCTAACCTGAATATATTTGAAGGCTCTTTTTGCAGACGGTTTGGAATAATCAAATAATTTAAGCGTATAATCCCTGGACCCAGAGGCCAGGATCTGCTCTGTCGGGTGGAAAGCGAGGCATGTGACTTCATCCACGTGGTCATAGAGAGTCCGAATCACTGGGTGGTTTTCCATGTTCTGTTGTGCAGTCTCGTTCATCATGACCTAGACCAACGAGAAGAGAGATGCTCAACGGGTAAAATCTGTCTGAATCAAAGCATACGAGCTACGGCTGGACACTAATGCTGACATAAGCTAGTTTCCCATTCTTCTGAGAACGAGTAACGAAAGGCACAGGGCAGGGGTCAGGCGGTACCTCGATGGGCATGGCGCTTTTGGCCAGCATCCTTTCCGTGTCCAGGATCTTTATGGAAGCGTCGGCAGAGCCGGTGGCTATTAACTGCCCATCTCTACTGTAGGTCGCAACCCGACACGGGCCTTTATGAGAGGTGACGTAGCACGTTTCATACTCTGAAGCCTCTGGGGACATAGTCTGGACATCTGCATCAAATTCCAGGTCGATTCCTGTGCCAGGGGCGACTGTATCTGAGCGACCGATTGCATACTGAACTGCAGTATCGTCATTTTCCATTCCTGAAAGGTAAAAGGAAAGTATTTTTTTTTCTGAAAAGCCAATACAAAGTTCTGCATGTAGAGTTGAAACAGAAGCTGACCAGCGTCCACTCACTGTTCTGGAGGTTCATGGCTCTTAGTACCTTATAAATCTGTGTGTGCTCACAGGGCGCCACACCACGAAAGGGCGAGGGGGGCGCGTGCGGCTGTGGAAGCTCAGGCCCCACCTCCTCTCACTTTTGCCTCCGGAGTTTACTACTTTAACTACAAGTATAGAAAGTGCAAAAAAACCAAAAACAAACAAACAAAAAAAAAACCCCACAAGAAATAAAAAGCAGTCCTGTAAACTGTCCATTTTCTCCCTACCCTGCATTTTAGGATTTACAGCTCATAGTAGCAGCTGTGACACTAAGTAAGATATGCTGTAAACATTTACACCTGTAAAGCAGTTTTCAAAGACTGTTATTTAAAGTGAACTTTCCATCAAAACTAGCATCACAAGTTAAAAAACAACTTGCCGTCTCACAGAAACACGGTTAGGCAGCACAGGGCAAGGCAGGAAAACAGATGAGCAAGAAAATAAAAAGAAGCCTGGCTCTGGGCAGGCCTCGGGGGACGGCAGCGGCTCTGTCACTTAACAGTGCTGTGACCTGTCTGAATTAAGGAGCTGGTAATGCTGCTAGCTTCACTATGCTGCCATGAGGCTCACAGGGAGTCAGGCAAGTATGCCAGGTATGCATTAAAAAAACACCACCTGGTGATGACAAGCTCCTGCTGGGTCTCTTATGGCTACAGGAACTTGTGTAATTACTTCACACTATGTCAGTTGTAGTCACTTTATTTCCTCGGGACAAATTTTCACCACTGGCACTGCCAGGTCGGAGCCTATAAACACGCTTGGTAATTCTCTATTTTAATGAGTATCTTCTATGGTCCAGGCAGGTGCCAGGATGCACTGTGGTACAAGACAAGGTGCTGATCTTTTTTGAGCTTGCTGTCATTTTGGGGAGATATGTGTGTAGGGCGTGGACGGTGAGGAAAACAATCCAAAGAATCACAATTCAGACAGCAATTCTGTTATGAAGCAAATGGGATGGTTGTGGTAGAGTAATGGGGAGGTCAGAGGAGAGTAGCGTGACTTTAGGAGGGCTGAAGACTCAGGTAACATTTGAGCTGGAACCTGAAGGGTGAGGAAGACAATAGTCACGTGCCACTAAACGCCTCATATGTGACAGTGGCTCAGAGACACTGCATCACACAGCCTAGGATTACAGGAAACACAGCAAGCATGCCAGGCTTACAGTGAACGGTTGGCCCACCCAGACTTGTGTAGCTGCACTCTGTGACAGTTGCACAAAATGCACTTTTCAGAATGCATTCACGTCTTTTGGGATGCATGAATGTATAATGACAAAATGTTCCAGATAATCTGTATAAAGACCCTGAGACGAGAACCACACTTGAACGCGTGGCTACTGCTTACTCCCTCAGTATCTAGCACAGAAATAATCTGGAAAAATTTGGATGTGGGAAAGAAACAGAAACCTCCTGGTATCATGAATGCCCACCCAAGGACTACCGAGTTTGATGAGATGCAGGAGCTGCTCCGAAGGCGCACAGACAGACTGCGGCTTGATCTCGTTGATGAGGCCGTTAGCAATGCTGATATAGCCATCATAGAGCAGCTGGCTAATGATCAGCTTGTAGAGCTGCTGGCGGTCCTTCAAGCCCACTTTGGTTCTGTACATCTTGGAGATACGTGGAGACAATTTTCCTGCAAGCTGAAAAAGAGAAAACGGGTGGTGAGGGCAAAGACGCTGTAAGTCAGAAAAGCAACAAAGGAATCTGCTCATTCTGACTAGCTCTTCAGTCAGTGACCTGTCTCTCTAAAATCAGGCTCTTCAGCTGTTAAACAAGTTGCTCGAGGTTAACAAAGATGGTGTATGCAGTGTAAGGAGTACAGCGGTGCACAAACGTTGTTCAAGTCACGTTAGTTTAACCTCCAGTTAAGCACTTGCCAGCTAACCTCCAGTTAAGCAGAATCTCTTCATCAACTTTTCTTCCCTGCCAAACAACCCACCTGTGATTTTTAAAAAACAAAAACAAAAAAAACCCTGCTATCCCAGAATCTTCCATTTCTTCTGTTAATAAAAAAGACTGGTGTTTGCAATAGGCAAGACAACTGTTATAGTTGGATGTCTAGAAATAACTGCTTCTACTCAAATGTTTATTAATGCCAGTTATATTCATTCTTAAACCATGCTTAAAGGCAACCCAGCAGGTTAAAGCACATAATTTGATAGTAAACCAAAACAGGGGGCACAAACCTGTTTTAAGACTTTGGAAAGGTTCAAAGGTGAACTGTTTAAAAAAATTGGTGAAACAGTAAAAATTGGGAAGGATCATGCACTTAAGATTGATGTGCAAGTCTCCAAGTTCTGCTTTAGTCTTTCAAAGTGAAAAGGAAAATTGCAGATGATGGTTTTAAGTTTATGCCAACAAAGAACTCCAACTTATGGTCCTGATTAGATAATCTGATGAACAAAAGTGTCTGTATGTGTATGTCTGGACAGATACTGGAAGGGTGCAGGAGCCTAGGGACAGCAATAAAGAATGAAAGCTGCAGACAAGTAGTCACAGCAGAGATGAAAGCTGGAAGGTAGGGCCTGGGAGAAATGGATGAAATGCAAGAGTGAGCGCTGTCACCAGGACCTCCTGGTCTTGCAGTACTTTACAGGGGTAACTCTGGAAGAGGAGGGCTATAAAGGGGTAAAAATCATTTTCTAACTACAAGTCCCTATGAAGAATTACTGAGACTACAGATCATAATAATAATAGTTAATATTTACTCAGTGTTTCACCTGGTTTTAGCTCTATCCTCAACACCATCCTATAAAGGAAGTCTTCTAATTTCTTGTTTACAGATGAGGAGGGGAAATAACTCTCCCAAGGTCTCACAACTTGCGTCTGAAGGCACCAGGATTAGAATACAGAGGGTCTGACTCCAAAGACTGTTGTTACCTACCATTACCTATACTGCTGCTCCTAAACAACTTAATAGTAATATTCAGCATAGCAGCACGTTATGCAAGCGCACAACAGGTTAACACCTACATCAGCCTTAATCTAATCCTGTTTTACAGATGGCCAACCCAAGGCCCAGAGAAGTTAGTAATTCCCCTAAGACCAAACAGCTTGTGAATGGCATAGCCTGGACCAGGCTCCTTGACCCCACAGCTTGAGCTCTAATGTGCTGTGCTGACGGGATGAACAGCTAACCTGCAGTTAAGCCCTTGCCAGACACCGCGCTCAGAACTGTGTAAGCTTTAGCTCACTGAATGAATTCAAGCCCATGCAGAAGCAAATGTACTTAAATTTATGCTTCATCAGACAACACAGGGACAGAGTAGACGATGATGGAGCCGGCTCAAAGCGATGCAGAAACTCAATAAAAGTAAAAGTGGCTGCAGTGGCTTGTCCAAGTCAGAGTGTTCGCCAGGATGGCGCAGGCGGGAGCCACCTACTTAGTCTCTATTTTGTCTTTTCACTCCCGCCTGGTGCATCCGGGCATGTACAAAGAGATTAAACAGAAGGAGGAAAAACACACAAACAAACAAGAGGGCGAGCCCCCGCTTTTCAACTCCTGCAGAACGTTGGCTCGCCGGGCCAGGGGGACCCCTAAACCCCATCCTCAATTTGCAGGGGGCGCCGAGGTCCGCGGCCAGGAAGCAGCCGAGCCAGGCTGGTTTCGCCGGGGCTGGAAGGACCGGGAGGCGAGCACAAAGGCCCGCTCCCTGGGGCTGTGCTGCGACCTCGGGGCCGGGAGCCGCTGCGAGCGCGGCCTGGAGGAGGGAGCGTGCAGGCCCGGCCCGCCACTCGGGGGTCGGCGCAGGACGCGCAGCTCGCTCGGGACACCCCCCGCCTCGCCCCAGTCCCCCCTGGTGCCTCCGAAAGGCCCAGCCACCCGCCCCAGCCACGCGCTCCGCCGCCCGGGCGCCCCGTACCCGCTAGTCCGGCCCTCTGGGTCCCCAGCTCGCTCCTAGAAAAATGGAGGCGCGAAACCTGCTCGATCGATCGCTCGGAGCTCACGCCCCTGCGCATGCGTCCAGGGCGCCGCGCCGAACGCCGCGCTATCGAACGTGCCCCTGTCTCCGGCCCTTCTCGCCATCTTACTTACTGGCGCGTTCGAGGAGTTCGCGCTCCTGCTCCCACCTTATCTCGTACGCGAGGCCCCCGGCGCCAAGGGTCTGCGGTCCCACGGGCAAACGTCTGATCGCGGCGGCACCGCGGCCGCTACAGTCGCCGCGGGACTGGCGGGCCGTTGGCGCCACCGCTTCCGGGGCCTGGTGGGGTCAGTGCGCCTGCTCGTCGCCTGCGCCTCAACCCGTGACGCCGGCGGCGAGTTCGCGGGGAGCCAATCAGAAGGCCGCGCCGCTGCGGCCCGGGCCAATCAGCGCGCGGAGCGGAGGGTTTAACTCCTATTTAAAATGAAGACGCTTTGAATCGTAACGGCTGCGCTCCCGGAGGACTCGGCGCCGGGTCTGAGGCGGCGCTGACGGGTGCGTGGGCCCGGGGGCCGCGCTGCGCGGCGGGCGGCGGCGGGGGAGGGTGTGCGGCGGGGCGAGGAGGCCGCCCAGGCCGCCCTCGCCCCCCGCCCGCCTCCCTGCGGCCCTGGAGTCGGGGCGCCCTGGGGTATTGAACCCCGGGAGTTGGGGGGGGGTCGTTGCCTGGGGGTGGGGGGAGGGGGCGCCTCCCATTTGGGCTCGCGTTCACTGAGAGCCCGGGGAGAAGAACAGAGGGCCTCCCTCTCCGCCCCGGTGGGGCTCGGGGGGCCTGGCGAGCCCCAGGGCCCCTCCCAGCAGGCGGCGTCGCGAACGGGACAGGGGCCGGCGGGGGCTGCTCCGGGTGGGGCCCCCCGGGTCCCTTGTCCCGGCCGGGCGGCTGGCCAGCGGGAGGGGGCCACCTCCCCGAGCCTTCCGGGCCGGTGCCTCTCCGGCACTGGGCCCCGGCTCACCTCTGTCGGGGTTCCTCGGGGGTCCCTGGTAAAAAGGCCGACCCACCGCACACCCCACGGGGCAGACGCGCCGGCGCAGGACTCGGGTGGCCGACCCAGAGCTCCAGGTGATTCCAGGGGGCGTGGGAGCCGGTGATTTCAACCAGCCCCAGGGGTCGTCGGCCGTGTTAAATGGAGAAGCCGCCTGGTTAGCTTTGGGGTTGGGCCTGAAGGGCTCCCTTGCTGATGGACCCCCCGATGGGCATGCAGTGGCCGTCGGTGTCTTCTTACTTAAGCTTCCTTGTTCTTACAGATCGGTGCTTTTCAGCGACATACTCATTTCCTTCCCCTTTCCTTCATCAGTGTAGACATTCCCAGGTCAGACTAAAGGGAGAGAAAGGATAAACCCACAGTGCCACCCCTAACAGATTTCCGGTTTAGAGTAGTAGAATCTCTGATTTGTAGGGAATGGAGCTTGTGAAGGAAGGGCCTGTGGTCGGGTGACTCCTGAATCTGGCTGTAGATGAGAATCACCTGACTTATTCTTCCTGGTGCTGTCCCAGAATTTCCCAGTCAGAATCTTCCACCGTTCGTCTTCCTGGGAAAGGTAGTATATTAAATTGGAGCCAGTCTGTGACCTGTAATTGTTAGGAACTGAGTGGAGGAAACACTAGAGGGTGCAGTTGGAGTTTGCATAACACAAGCACACATTTCCTCTCCCTGCTGGTCTGCTTCCACAACCCCACTGTTTGGTATCAGGACTCCAGCCTGGCCCCATCTTTCAGGTGGTTCTCATTTTTGCTTTGTCCATGGGTTAATTCAGTCCCCAAACATTGGCCACTCTAAGTACTAGGTATGCTCTGTGTCCTGGGGAGGCGACAGTGAACAAAGTGGGACACTTCTGCCCTCGCTCTCTGGGAACTCTTGGGAGATAACTGAGTAGGTAGCTGGAAATGAATCTGGGCAGATGGACAGTGAACACATACCAGTAATGTCTCACAGGGTACTAAGTAAGGGCTCTGAAGAAAAACAGGTGGTCTGGAAGGGGACATCTGAGCAGAGACCTCAAGGAAATGGAGTGACCCAGCCTTCTTTTAGTGGGAGGAGCCTAGAAGCGGAGGGAACTGGAAGTGTAAAGGCCCAGTGGTAGGAGGCTTAGAGGAAACAAAGGCATCCTATGTAGCTTGTATCCTGGAGACAGGAGATGAGGTCAGAGAGGTGGGCAAGGTCTGCCTCCTAGATCTGTCTGTCCTGGTTGGATTTTTAGTTTCTTTGAAGCGCCCTGAAGGGCTCTGAACCAAGGACTGGCATACCAGACTTGTTAATGGGGTCCCTGGGCACAGGGTTGGAGCCGATGGAGTAGGAGGAGGAGGTGCAGAGTGGAGGGTCGAGTTTGGGGAGTGGAGCTTGGACTTACCGGGAAGGTCCGATCTGAACATTAGCACCTGAGATAACTGCGTCGTGGGGTAAAGGAGTGTGCCACGCCATCACCCCGATCAGCACGGCAGCCCTTTGAAGCAGGTGCGTTAGTGTAACTAACAGTGGCCCTTTTGTCTTTTCAGGCATCATGGACAAATCTAAAGAAAACTGCATCTCAGGGCCTGTTAAGGTAAATTGAATCATTTGTTATCTCAGTCACATTTATAAAATCCAAATGGAGCTTGGTCTTAGATCTGGAATTCTTTTCACCTTTACTCTGGATTGTAGCTTTAGAGCCCTCTGCTACCTTCCTGGCTAGGAGGTCACTTTTCTTAGCATCCCATAACACTTTGTTGATGACCTCCTGGTAACTTATTTTGTTCTGCTTTTTCTCATAGTAGCTGTTTAAGTATCTATCTCTCCATTGTAGGTAGCATAGTAGTGTACACAGTAGGTGCCTAACATTTGCCTATACTTTCTTGTGTCTGGGAGATCGATTTCTTTGCTGTTGTGTGTTCTTGTGACCTTTCAGGAGTGGTAAGCATGGGCATGTCCAGCTGCGTCTTAGTGAACTCTTCCTGGGCGCCCCGTCTGGGCCTGGTTCTGTGTCAGGTGCAGGGGAGGAAAAGCACATAATCTTTGGGGAACCTGAAGGCCTTTTGGGAGGTGTGTGAGTCAGCACCAGGTCTTGTAAGCGGGGCCTGTCTTCCTCTTTAGATGGAAGTGTGGTTAGGGGACACTTGTTAACGGGTGTGATTTCTAGGGGAGGAGGTATTCCTTTCAGCCACACGCTGTGTCTTCTGAAAAGTGCTGACAAATAATGTCCCCTTCCATTTGTTATCAGTGGCGTCATTTCGTTCTGTGAGAGAACAAGTAGGAAATTCTAAATCAGCTTTTGTACATGAAGCCCATGAAGGTTCTTTTTTTTCCCCTCCCAATCTAGACGACGGTTCCACTTGGTGATGGTGCGAAGCGTGTTCCCGTGAATCAGCGCTTTCCTTCACAGAATCCATCGTCTGCAAGTGGTGGCCAGGCTCAGCGGGTCTTATGTCCTTCAAATTCCTCCCAGCGCCTGCCGTCACAAGCGCAAAAGCTTGTCTCCAGCCACAAAGCAGTTACAAATCCGAAGCAGAAGCAATTGCAGGCAAGCAATGTGGCTCGTCCCGTCTCCAGGCCGCTGGCTGCTGCCCCGAAGAGCGAGCCCCCGCCCCCGCCGTCTGCACCAGGTGAGGCAGCCCGGCCACGTGCCGAGTCATTCTGGTTGCTTAAAAAGCAAGTGTACTAACTTGAGTGTTTGGAGTCTTAGCTTTTACATTTCTGTTGAGGATGGGGAACATCTGACATGTGGGGTGAAGTGACCCTGTTCCTGTGGGCCAGGTCTGGGCTAAGAACACAGGCCTGATTCCAGCCCTCATGGAAGAGTCGGGCAACCAGCGAGGGCACGGCACCCTCTGTGTCCTGAGGATTGCTTTTCAGCAGCGGAGGGGTCGAGGTGCCTGTGGCAGGTACTCTTGGGGACCTGCGATAGTTCAACATCTGGGACATGAAGGGGAGTGATGAATGGGGTGCCGGGCGAGGCCATGGTGGGCACTGCCAATCCTGTGCATTGGGAGGCTGCGGAGGGTTTTTGAACAGGAGAGGAAGGGTCTGACTTGCCTTCTAGAAATCTTCATCTCTGCATATGTGGAATGAATTGACGAGAACAGTGCTGGGCCCTGTGTGACGCCAGGTAGGAGGAAGTCCACTGTGGTTTAGGGCAGCTGTGGCAGTGGCCTGAGGCATTGGATACTAGTAGTAGTTTGTAAGGTGAGTGACACACCCCTGGCTCCTTGGGAGGTGTGCTTTGCTCCTCCTCGTCTGCTGCAGTTCTCGAGACCACGCCACAAAGGCAGGCAGAGTTAGCAACTCAGGCCTACAGGGGAGGAGCTGAGACTAACGTATCCACAGACGTGGCGAGGGAGGTGGGGTCATGTGGGGTGCAGCTGGAACTGGGCGGTGACTGGACTGGAAGGTGAGTGAAAGGGAGTTGGAAATGGCAGTTATATTGGTGGCATTAGCTGAGCTAGTGAACCAGGGAGGGAGAGCCAATTTGACCTCGCATCCAAGTGCCTGTGCGGTGCCTGCTGTGCTGCCCTTAGTCCCCCGCAGGCGCTGGCTGAGGGCAGAGTTGCTCGGCCCCCGTCGTGCACATGGCTTATTGTACATTTGCTGACTCGGCTTCTCTTTTTCTGTTTCCCTGTGCAGCTAATACACCATTTCATAGTATATTAGTAAGCGATACAGTGTGTGTGTTGTAAGCTAACAGATTAATAAAGTATATGTGTAACCCAAATAAAAGTTCCCCTCCACCCTCGCAGGTCCACCTTGAGTCCCATTCAATGTCAGTGGGATTTTGTTGAACGAAATGATGCTACTCCAGGGCCTGCTGTCGTCGTTTTTTTTATAAAGAAAATTGAAAGTGGCCCAGATGATTATTCTGGACATACCATTAATATTTTGGTGACACATTCTTTGATTTCTCTCTCTTGCCATGTTTTTACTTACAGGAAATAATCCTGAAAAGGAACAGGCATCAAAACAGAAAACTGGAGAATCCAAAAAGTAAGCTTTACCTTGTTTATAAAGCTCTGTCCTCTGCTCCAGAATATGTCATTTCATTGCAAGTTTTGTTAGAGGAACTTGTAAAAACTAGGTCATGTGATTTTCACTAGAAAATCTTTCTGAAAGGGGGGAGATTTTGTTTAAAGAGGTGTTTCCTGGGGACCCCAGTTTCTTACTACTTTCTAAATTTGGGAAAAGCTTGTATGAATCTGTCCCAGAAATGTGTAAATGAAGTAAAAGTTCCCCTCCACCTTGGCAGGGGTCACTCCAGATGGTTTGTGTGTTTCTGTACTGTATTCTTTTGCAGAAGTGCAAGTTTTTTAAAAAAACCTGCAGTATGCTCTTGAACTCTGCACGCTTGACTGCACAAGTATTTTGACAGAATGAATAGTTTTGTGTTTATTATAAAGCGTGATTGTAGTGTCTTCCCCAGACATTTTTAGTGGCCTGCTGTCAGTCTGAGTTGGACCCTCGGCTGAAGGAGGCGGACCAGGGTTGACCTTGGACTTGCTTTGCTTTCTCTGCCTACTGGAGCCTGAGACTCTAAATCCAGTCCTTCTCCTAACTGCTCTGTGGGGCTCATCCCTCTTCTAGGGGGTTCTCCACCCCAGAGAGTGTGGGCAGTTCTGAGATGGAGCAGTGCTGGGGCTGAGGTCCTGTTTGGAAGCATTCTTTCCTGTCTAAGTTCCCTCAGCCTTTTGGTGGTCTTAAGTGTCCTTCTGAGCCTAGTGCTGCCTTGGGACACTTCCCTTGAGTGCCTCGGTTCTAAAAGTCCAGACTGATCCTTGTCACGCCTATAGGTAACAGCAGTTGGGGGAGGTTGAGGTTTGTGTCGACTCATTGTTGGCTTGGTTCTTGCAGAGGAGGGTACCTGCAGAGTACAGCTGTGGGTGCCAGAGTGCTTACAGGATGTCTACTGCTCAGTGCATATTTAGGGATTTGTTTTCACATTTTAAAAATGTTCAAATTCTTTTCTTTCTTCCCCACACCAAATTCTTTCTTAGAAGACAGTGGGCTTTGGAAGACTTTGAAATTGGCCGCCCGCTGGGTAAAGGAAAGTTTGGCAATGTTTATTTGGCAAGAGAAAAACAAAGCAAGTTTATCCTGGCTCTTAAAGTGCTGTTTAAAGCTCAGCTGGAGAAAGCAGGGGTTGAGCATCAGCTGAGAAGAGAAGTAGAAATACAGTCCCACCTTAGGTAAGTGTTCAGGGTGACGTTCAGGGATTCGAAGTTCTTAACGATTGTTGGCCTCCTTAGGAGGCCTGCTGTATAGCACTGCAAGGGGGTTAAATTGGTCATTTTCTAGAGATCTTCTGGATTTAAGGGCCATGGTCCAAAGAAAAAAAATTTGCTTTAAGTTTTAATGTCCTGTAGTAATTTATGTGAGCAGTGGGGGTGTGTGTGTGTATATGTGTGTGTGTGTGTGTGTGGCTAATGCAAGTGAGTGACACCTCTTGCTCTGAACTCTAAGCAGAGGTTGCACTGGCAGCCTGCGGGTTGGCTTTGACTGGTGGGTGGTTTTTCTTTTTTTTTTCCTTTCAGAGTTTTTTCCCAGATTTGAATCAGTAGCTAATACTCAGAGCTCTGACACTAAACCTGCCATCCACTAATACTTTGAAATGTGTGTAAACTGATACGGAGCAGATATGCTTATTTTTCTGGGAGTGGTTCTCTAGTTTCAGATTCTCAAGGTGGGGGGGCGGCCTATGACCAGACCGATTTTCACCATTGGTTTCACGTGAGGGGTTTGCTTGATACTTAATACATATTGTGGTCTCCGCGCCAAAGTCAGGTGCTAGCGTCCATCCTTTGTTGCAGGCATCCGAATATTCTCCGGCTTTATGGGTATTTCCACGATGCCACCAGAGTGTACCTAATTCTAGAATATGCACCTCTCGGCGCCGTGTATAGAGAGCTTCAGAAACTATCCAAGTTTGACGAGCAGAGAACTGCCACGGTAGGTTTTGTTGTCCCGCTCATTCTGCTCCCTCTGCTGTGCTGCGGCACGGGTAGCCCCTGCGCACCAGGGTGGGTTTGTCCCCCGGAAGCACTCAGTAGGGTCAGGTTTGAAATGGAAAGAATCAAGATAGCTGAGCTGAACGTGCCATGTGGCCAGATAAATCGAGCACTGGGGCTGACTTCCACAACTACTTTCCTGTGGAAATGTGTATAAATGGTGGTTTTCTCTTTTGAGAATTATTTTAGAATAGCTTTAGACTTAAGGTGAGTTTGGTGATCATGCAGGACACTTGCTTTTATTAAGTTGCTGTTTATTGTTCAGGATTATATCCCCAATACCCTTAGTTCCCCCAGCCCCCTTAGAGCAGTAACACTGGTCTACAACCCTGCAAGGGTTTCAGGCTCAGCGTCTCACCTCCGCAGCCGCACGTGTCACAGCACACCCACCACCGACGTCCTGTCACCATCCCCTCCGAGCCACCCCCTCCCCGCTTCTGGTCCCCGCCATTGGGTTGTCAGTCTAAGTGTGTGTTTTTGTTTATTTTGCTTTTCGTTGTATTGCACCGATCAGTGCAATCATGATGCTGTCTGTCTTCCTTATTTCACGTAGTGGCCCTCCCCGGGGTTGTCGAAATGGCAAGGGTTCATCTTTCTGATGGCTGAGCCGTACTCCACGGGGGACTCATCTTCCTTCACCCACCCGTGGTCAGGTGCTGGCTGCTGCCCGCCACAGCTGCGGTGCCAGTGCTGCAGTGAGCGCGGGGCTGCCGGGGTTTCCATGCTCTTTGGTAGATGCCCCGGAGTGGCTGTCTGGATCATGTAGTCATTCTGTTTTCATTTTTTGAGGGAATTCCATGTTTTCTGTAGCACCTGCACCAATTCACCTTCCCGCCTGCAGCACACGAGCCCCCCCCCCCCCCCCTTTCCCCACAGCCTCCCCAACGTGTGTTATTTCTTGACTTCTTGATTATAGCCCTCTGACCCCTGTGAGGTCAGAAATCTCTCTGTGGCTTGGTTTGCACTTCCCTGAAGATGGTGACAAGGAACCTCTTTTCGTGCATCTCAAGGCATCTGTGTGTCTTCAGTGAAACCCTGATTTAGAGCCTCTGTCCATTTTTTAATGGCGCTGTAGTGACTTGCCTGGATGTGTGGTTTGCAAATACTTCTCCCACTGCCTTTTAAGGATGGGTTTGTTTGTTTTTTTTTTTTTTTTTTGGCAGCCGCTTTTTAGTTTGATGTGGTCCCATTTGTTTATAGTCTTGGTTTCTTACATTTTTAACTTAAAATGAAACATTTTGTTGTAAATTGACCTTGGTTTTAAGAATGGGAATTGACTGTAGTTAGAAGGTTTTATTTATTTATTTATTAAAGATTTATTTATTTATACAATCCTTGGGTACAGTCAGAAGCACGGGAGGGTGAGAGAATTCACCAGAGCCAGATCGTGGAGCAAAACAGGCAGACTGACGAAGCACACTGCTGAGGGGAGCAGCGGGCGGCAGGAGAGGTCTGTGCGCCATGTGGGACCCTCCTCCGGTGGCCGGGGAGCAGCCAGGGATCGAACCGGCGCTGCAGAAGCTGCGGGCAGCTTCGCAGCCCAGCCTTCTACTGCTGCGCCACAGGGGTGGCCCTGTAGTTAGGTTTTAAAATGAAAAAAACTTTCCACAGTTTGTGTCTGACTAATTTGTAGCATTTTCCTAGCTAGTTGTGACTTCTCTGCGGCTGGGTCCTAGGTTGCCACGGAGGGACGTGGTCACGGTCCATAGTCAGTGTTTTCCTGTCTTTCAGCATCACCTCTGCTCTGTCAGCAAACGCGTGACTTGTGCCGCGTGCTGAGCTCTATAAATTGGTTCAACTGATTTTTTTTTGATTTTGGAAGAGTCATCCATTATTTCTAGATTTTGCCTAAAACCTATAAAATGTGTTAAAATCTGTATTGATTTCCTATCAGAAGAGATTATCTAAAATTGTATAAGTAAATCTAAAGCAGACTTTCAAAATTTCCTTTTCAACAGTACATCACAGAACTGGCAGATGCCCTGTCTTACTGTCATTCGAAGAGAGTTATTCACAGAGACATCAAGCCCGAGAACCTGCTCCTCGGATCAGCTGGAGAACTGAAGATTGCGGATTTCGGGTGGTCTGTTCACGCCCCATCCTCCAGGTATGTGATGTCAGCTGTGGGACTTGTTTGGTTTGGCAAAAGCACCAGCATCTAATCATGAGCTAAACTGTAAAATGCTTGAGCACGGCTGTGTGCTGCATTGGGGCAGGTCACTGACAACCACACTTTGGAGTAATCTAGACTTGATGGTGATTTAGCGTCTTGAAGAGCATTTTATTCTGCATTCAGTTTAGGCTGTTTACGGTGTTGTAGACCTGGGCTCAAGGGGCTTAGTGGCCTTGGTGGCTAATGAAGATGTGCAAGTGTGACAGGAGGTGCTGACATGGTGGTGGGTGGTGACTCTGGCCTCCTAGACCCAAGGCCACATCTCAGAGCCGAGAGAGCAGGGGCGCCAACATCCAGCTGGTGGCCTGGGACATTCAGGGATGTGGTCAAGAGTATCTTTGGTCAACTTTTGTCACGAGAACATGTTCTTGCTTGTCTGTCTGAAAGCAGAGGGAGCAATTGAATGAAATAATTTGAACATTAAGTGAACTTTGCACAAAAGAGCTCAAATACTGTTTTAATTGGAGTTTAAATTAGCTTTTGAAACCTTGTATGAAGGAGGTCGTTTTAAAAATATACATTTACCAGTAAGCATTTGTCAGCTTTGAGAGAGAACTTCAGAAATTATGCACTTAAAAAATATGTTCCGTAGGCTTAAACAGATGACATGGAGTGGGGTGGGCTTCTTAGAGACCACTTCTGACTGTTTCCAGGGACCCTGAATCTGTGATTGAAGTCTCTCTCTATAAACCAGGCACTGTTGGCACCTGGTGAAATGAACAAGGAAGCATTGTGGGTCTCAGGGACACCAGGGCCATCCTGGCTGTGGCCTGTCCCATTGAGTCATCTGATAGGCAAGAGCTTAGCTGCTGCTGAGTGAAGAGGACCTTTATGTAAATTCCATGGTCATTGGTCCTCTTCTGAATGTTAGTAACCAGAGATCTCCCAGGGTATCCTGTGCGGATCTTCGAGGACCCCGGTCCTTGTGGTGATGTGGGGGTGGCACATCTGAAGAGGTCACTGGTCATTTGATTGAGGTTTTGTGTGCTCGCTGGGCACCACCCTGGGGACCCCACACCAGCCCTGACCCAGCGGAAACGCAATACAGACCTACGTGGTTCTTGCTCCTAGTTTGATGTTTGCTCCTGGGCAGCCTTTGATACAAAAACTCAAACACACAGAGACACTGCGTCTACCCAGCACCTCCATCATAACATGCCTGCTTTTTGGTGGGCCTTCAGAAATGACTTGTGGGCACCATGAGTCTGCTGAGAAGATGAACAGGCGTGTTAATGCGGAATGCGCCTTCCATGCTCGCTTTTCCCCGGCAGTCTGCAAAACGCCGTGCCTTTAACCCTGAATGCAGCCAAGGCCTGTGATTGTATATGTGTCTAAGTTTCTAATTTCAAATGAATCCTTCCCTTGTAAATCGGTCTCGGTTTTAAAAATGGGCATCGACTATAGAGTAAGAGATTTTAAGATTAAAAAAAACACGTTTACATGCCTGCTTCTCTCTCTACTATGTACCAGCTCTCTAGTTGCTTCTGTGACGTCATTGCTGCTGAGTCCTACTTGCCACGTAGGGATGCGGTTTTAGTTCACCAGTGTTTTCCTACCTTTCAACATCACATCTGTTCTAGCAGACTCAACCCCCAGAACTTAACATTGTGGATATTTTAAACTGTGTTGTTACTTAGCGTGACCCTTCATTTTGTGTTTGCTGAAAACTGAAGTTAGGTCAAAGGGTCTAAAGAATATTTTTGGCAAAACATGGACCACTCCCAAAATTTAAGTTTCTCTTTTCTACCTGTCATGTATCAGAAAGTCGTATGTATCTGTAACCCCAGACCTGGTGCTTTCACAGTGGGACAGCTTTTAGTTTCTTGTCACCTGACTCTTAAGCTGCTTAGCCTATCTGGTGTAAACCAGTATCGATTCCAGGTTGTGCTCACAGAGAGCTTTGTGTGGCTGCTGTTATACAGCAATGCTTTGAATCGTGTGGATCTTGGTTCTGGATTTGGGCCCATTTGGGATGCAGTGTGGGGCCGTCTGATGCTGCACATCTCTCAGTCTTTCCTCTTGTCAAGTGGGGATTTATAAGAGCTTTGTGGCGTTGGACCTGGCCTAGGAGAAGCTCTCGGTCGATGCTAGCGTGATTGTTCCTGACCTTGAGCTGCTGTTGTAATAATGAAGCAGAAACGCGTCAACCTGCCTCCCCCATTTTCAGGAGAACCACCCTCTGCGGCACCCTGGACTACCTGCCCCCGGAGATGATCGAGGGCCGAATGCACGATGAGAAGGTGGATCTCTGGAGCCTTGGGGTCCTTTGCTATGAATTTTTAGTTGGGAAGCCTCCTTTTGAGGCAAGCACATACGAGGAGACCTACAAAAGAATATCGCGGGTAAGACATAGCTGGGAAGGGTTCCGAGCTGCACTGAGACTTCTTACCAGCCTGACCTCAGGCTGCCCTCTCACTGCTTACGCTTCTCTCTCTAAACCGTGTTGTGTGACTGTCACTTGCTGTGCTCCAGGTTGAATTTACATTCCCTGACTTTGTACCAGAGGGCGCCAGGGACTTCATCTCAAGACTGTTGAAGCATAACCCCAGCCAGAGGCCCACTCTGAAGGAAGTGCTGGAACACCCGTGGGTCACGGCAAACTCATCCAAGCCACCAAGCAGCCACAAAAACAAAGACTCGACGAGCAAACAATCTTAGGGCGTGCAGGGAGCAACCGGACCCAGGGCTGCTGTGGGAGCTGCTGGGGCGGGCTGCTGGCCTTCAGCTGGTGCCGACGACTGCCATCTAGGGCGCTCCAGGAGTCATTTTTCTCTTTCACTGGGCAGGCAGTACTTGGCCTCCCCGTTCAGAAACTCTGTGGCAACAAACACGCCAAAGGAAAGTGTTTCACGAGACTGTGAGCGTCCCTGGTTTGAGTTCGAGGCAGCCGCTCCACAGCCTGTCCTGGGTGAGGCGACCTCCCCGAAGACTCGCCAGGCCTGACTGGGGCGAGTGGCTGCTGAGCCCTGATGGTCAGTTGAGAGCTGTGCAATACCTTCCGAGTACCCCAGGGTGTATGTAACTTATTGGGGGGCCACGTGTGGTCTAGCTGTCAGAATGAATATGGGATTCTTCCTTTTAAATGTTAAAATAAAGAATTTTGTGCAGGCTTGTGTGTTCCGTGGCACCCTGTAGGAATGATGTCTGCCTGGCCCTCCTGGTGACCGCAGCCTCTGCTGTCTGACACTATGGTGGCACATGCTCCCCCACCCCAGGACTGTTAGGGGCAGGTGCTACTTGCGTCTCCAAGCTGTTTGTAAATGTTACGGGCTGCATTCTCTGCGTGGAGGCCTGGCCGCGTGCACCCCTGCGCAGATGCATTTCTAGAGCACATGGGGACTCCCACCCGCTCACCACTGGCAGAGCTGGTCTGCCTGTGCCTGGTCCCTTGTTCTGTGCCCCTGTGTCGGGTTCCCCATGTGTTCCTAGCGGCCGTGCCATCTGTCAACCAAAGGTGTGGGAAACAGTGGTGAAGGGTAAGGCCCCTGTGATGTGTGCGGGACAGTGAGAACTAGGGGGTGACTTACTCGTGGCTGACTTCCAGGCAGCATGTCATGTCTAAACAGTAGTGACAGGAACTGGGAGTGTCCAGTTACCCCTGGGGACAAAGCAGCTCTTGGTTCCCACAGTCTGGAGCAGAACCAAAGCATGTGCCCCAGGCACCCTCACCCACGCCGGTCCGTGCGGCACGGCCAGCTTCGCCAGTGGTTCTAGCGAGACTTCGTCACTTGCTCAGGCTCCCCCATGTGAGCAAAGGAGACTGCTCCTCGTAGTAACCGCGTCAGCAAGCTGGGCGCATGTGTGCTGCTCTGTACTCAACAGCGAGGGCTTTCCAGAAGAACGCAAAGTTCTCCATGGACTTGACAAAGATGTTTGTTTCACAGAATTTAAGTTGCTGTTTTGTCAGATAAAAACAGTACAGGTAAATACTGGCTTGTATTTTTAAAATAGACAGCTTTATTCCCCTAGGTCCATAAAAACAATGTAAATACAAGGAATTCGTATGTCTTGCTGGTGAGTTCACATAACACTTGAGTCCCTGGTCGCTGGCTTCTCCTCCAGCGGGGCTGCCGGGGCAGAGCTGGGCTTGGAAGGGCACAGGGTGGCGTAGGGTGTGATAACCACTTGTATTGCTTGGCCTTTCCACCCATTCCCATCACTCCAAACAATTCCAATTTTAAGACTTAATTTGGAAAAGAGCTAACGTGGCTTTTGTGCATATGCCTTACTAGGGCCCCGGTGGCCGGGAGGCCGGCCGGCTCCTGTAGTGCGGGTGAGACGGAACGGCGGGTCCTGTGCATGCTGGCTGACCTGCGCAGCTGCAGGCATCCTGGGAATTTTAAGTCAGGAAAACTTCTGGCTCTGGGCTAAGTGCTTGAAAAGGACGCAGATACCTGTGAAAGGTCTTGGAAGCAGAGACTGTCCCACAGAGGTCTGACAAAAGTAAACTTAAGAACTAGTTAACTAGTTGATATGGGGGCGAACTTGGTGTCAAGAGGCAGGGCTCAGTAAAGCCAGGGCAGTTGAATTCTAGTTCTTTCCATTTTCTGATTGTCACAAAGGTAATTAAAAAAATGGGGCAAGAAAGATAAGCACAGCTCCTTCCCCCATGGAGGTGGGCAGAACTGGTTTCCTGGGGGCTCCGGGCAGGCAGCTTCCATGATGCTGAATCCCACAAAAGGGGGTCCTCCTCAAGTGCCTGCTCTGTGCTTGAATTTCTAAAGTAACCTCCCTAACAGAGTGAGGGGCTCTCGGGACACCCAGGACAATCTGCTCAGTTGAAGGTGGTAACACCTGGCTCTCCTCCCGGGCCTCATCACTGCAGCAAGGGAGACCACCTTGCCTGTTGGGTGAGCGATACAAAAATCTTTTTAACTTAATAAATTTTAACTGTCAAAAAATATTGGTAGCAACCCAGTGTATACATGAGGCAGCCATTCTGGAATGTCTGAGGCTTGCAGAGGGCTCAGCGCGGTGCCCTTCTCGCCTTGTGTGCAGGGATGGGCATCTGGAGCCGCTTGCGCTGGACAGAGCTTCGTGCTTTACCTCAGCAGAGACTAGAGAAGAGCCACCTGAGGTGGACCCCTTCAGCCAGACTGGAAGGTGCTTTGGGGGTCACTGAAAACTAGAAATACTATTTTTCTTTCCCCCAAACAAGTGTAAGAATGTCGAAGTGTGGAAGCTGAGTTAGATTCTGATTACACATTGTTGCGTGTTCTTTGTTCACTGGCACTGGCGGCGGCTTTGCAGAATATTGCATATTAAACTGCAGGCAGCCTGACAAAAATTGGAGGAAAAGGAATTTAAATATCAAGCATAATGAATCGTTGCCTTTTAAGAATCTGAGCAAAGATGAACTCCTAGGGCTTCTGCAGACACCCTTGCCAAAGATCTTCCAGAAGGAACATTTCCTGGGCTCACAAGGTGGCTGGAGACAACTTGTTTTGTGATGTTCTGCTGACATTGTGGATTATGGTGAAGAGCATTCAGAAAGCTTCCGAAGAAGGAAATTACAATTGTTCAAAAACCTGAACTTGGCTTGCAAAGGTAAGACTTATCCATGAGAACATAACAATTCTCCTCCTGCCCCCCCACCCCAAGCCCTTCAACTCTAAGACTAATCTAAAAATACCTAATTTAAAAGATAGGTTTTCAGATCTACAATCGAAGATTCATCAAGGCTTTGCAGCTGGAGGCTTAAAAAATCCCACTTTCCGGAAATATCTGACAATCAGGGGCGCGGAAACTAAGGTGATGCTGATCCTCACTGGCGCGAAGAGCTTGTGGATGGCGTAGGCCACCACGAAGGTGCTCGTGCCCGCCGCCACCTTCGACTGCACCAGCGACTCTTTAAATCCCAGTTTAAGCAGGACTGCGGACATGTCCACGCCGCTGCGGGGGGAGGAGAGGGCAGAAACGAGACAAAACGACCCGATTATTACAGCAAGGGATTAAACTTAGGAGGTGACTCGGTTATAAGATTTGCAGCATCTTTTAAAATGATGAAAGCTGCTAAAGTCTTAGGGGGAAAGTTCTCATAAGGCCCACAGGACGGTGGGGACGGGCCCGGAGCTCACCTCGACACAACCATGTAAAAGATGCCCAGGGACGTGAGCGAGACCGCGATGTGGAACGACACCCCGACCGCGCCGTACTCTTGGAAGACCTTTCTCAGCTGCTGGGCCTTGCTCGGTGGCTGCTCCGCGCTGCTGGCGCCGCCGCCTGTGGCCGCCGCGCCTCTGCCCGGGTCCTGTGCCGAAGCCAAAGGAGGGGAGACTCTTTAGGGCAGGGACGAGGGTGGCAGTGGTCCCCACGGCTTTGATGCTCACAGGGTCGGCTCTCCCCCTGCCCAGGGAGCTATTCCCTACCCGCTTGCTTGCTCAGGGCACAGGCTACTGCCCGCTGAGCCGCCAAGCCAGAGAGCGGCCGGGCACTAGGAATGGCTGCTGGGTGACGGCCCTACTCGGCCCGCGCCCCCGGGCCTGTGCCTGTTACACGGCCAGAGGAGGCCGACACGGGGAGGTTCTTCTGGGGCATCGAGTGTGGCCAATGTAATCACAATGGAGGGGGGAGGCAGGCGGGAGAAGCAGATGTGAGGACAAGCAGCTTGAGACCTGAAGCTGCCGCGTAGCTGGCTTTGCAGGGGGAGAGGGCGGCGAGCAGCGCCCTGTGGCTCCAGACAGGAAACAGGCTCTGCTCTTGGAGCCTCCAGAAGGAACCGGTCTGGCTGACACTTCAGAGTGAGCGTGGCTGTGACAAGATTCCAGGTTCTTGGTGGCTTCTTGTGGCGGCCAGAGGCTCACTTGCTTAAGCAAGGATACTTGACCTCACACCTTCCGGGCCAGGCAGGGCTCAGCCGCGGCCTCGGCACCCTACAGCACCCCCAGTGCTCTTCCTCTCGGGGAGCAGAGGCCCAGGGGCCAGCGCAAGGTCGCCAGGACCAGGCCAGGCTGTCCGCAGCCTGAGCGCATAGCCGCCATGTGACGCTACCAAATGTGGTGTGACATAAACAGCCGAACTAGTGTCTGAACTTCCAGAATTAAGATCTGCTCTGAGCAGGTCACTTGACCAGGAGCAGGTCAAGTGGGCGCTGGGGGCCTCTCAGGTGGCGCAGGGGGTTAAAGACACAGCGCTATCAAGCTATCGGCAGCCACGGTGGCATGAGTTCGATCCCCGGCCAGGGAGCTACCCACATGGCGCAGCAGACCTCTCCTGCCTCGCCCGCTGCTCCCCTCAGCAGTGTGTTTCAGTCTGCCTGTTCTGCTCCCCACTCTGGTGAATCCTCCCACCCCCCCCACCTCTGGCTTGCACCCCAGTTCTTGTATGCAGTAATGAATAAATCTTTAAAAGAAAAAGTGGGGGCCAGGACATTAAACTGAGCACCTACAGGGAGAAAGAAAAAAGCCACCAACACCAGATTAAAAACCCAAGTCCAAAATTCCTTCTCAGCATGAAAAGTGCTTTTCTCATCAGAGGATTTCCTGCACTCCAGTGACCTTCTCAGCGAGTCCTCACAGGCAGGATCTGGGTCATCAGCTCCAGTTTTATTCCTTTGCTGCTGGCCTACCTCTCCCTTGTATTTTTAGAGCCTGCTGCAGCTGAGCACCTCCAGGGCCATGTAAAGAACACAATACCCAGGAGCCCCTGGGGCCAGTCCTCCAGGCCTTGTCCATGAGGGGCTCACCCCGAGTGGGAACTGTATGGCTGCTGACCACCTTGGGAGGTGCACCCGAGGGATAGGGTTCAGACAGGACCTGCAAGCTGATGGCCCTCGGTTTCTTCTCTTTGGTCACCTGTGTGTCCAGATAGGGAGGTCGCTGGAAGGGGGAAGGGGTGCAAACCCCAGCAAGACCTCAGCCTGGCTTGGGTGTTCAGGGGAGACACATCTGTAATAAGCCCAAATGACCAATCCACCCTTACCACACTCTCAAGATCAAGCCCATAGGTCTGGCCAAAACAGTCTCTTCTCAACACAGTGGCCAGAAAGAGCCTGTGGAAACCAAGGTGGGTGACAGCAGCACTCCCCCAAGCTCCCCTGGGAGCCAAAGTAGTCCTTGCTCCAGACCCCTGGCCCACAGACGCCCCCAGCCCCTGGAATGTGGCTTCCCTGTCCAGCCACACCCGCATTGTGCTGTCTTGCCTTGGCGTCGGGAGCTGCCCCCTCACTGCCCCCTCCAGATCCTTCTCTGTGTCATCTCAGAGAGAGGCCTTCCCGAAGCGGAGCCCCCTCCATGCCTTCTCCCTGTGTCTTATCCGCCTGCCATCACCACTGGGCAGATCGTTTACCCACCAGGTTATCTCTGTGACCACGGGCTCTGGGGCCAGATCTGTGTCTCTCACGGCACCGCCTAGAAAGTCAGGCTCAGAAACTAGCTGCTACATGGGGTCCTTCCTCCTCCCAGGGAGGTCATCCACATTGGGTCACCCGTACTGGTCCCTCCTAAAGCAGCCATTTCCCCCTAACAGTTCTGCGATGTAGGTTACGAACCACAGGGTTCCAGTAGACGGCTGAATGGCTTACATGGACTTAAGAGTCTCAGCCATCGCTGATTTTGGAACATTTGCACCACCCAGTTATCTGCACCTCCTTCTCCCAGGGCACCCTGTCTTTCTGTCTCTGAGATTTGCCCATTCTGGGC